ATTTAGACTGTAATAGTGTAATATGAGATTGGATTGTCATGTAATAATATGGTAAGTATCACATGTCGAAAAGTGCTTAAGAAGTAATTTATTGATTATAATTATAACTATATTATTTCCACAGGTAATATGAAAATTGTGTTTACCTGACTATATCTGTCTACACTAGTATACTAAAATAATATGGGTTACCTACCTATAATTATATGGGATGATGCTACTGAAAATACACTTAAGACACTAAATTATTTACAAAACAGAGTTCATATTTGTTTTGATAAGATAGATCAGTTTGGTTCTATTAAAGAAAATTATAATGAAATCGGCCTAATTCCTCTAAATTTGTTGTATATAAAAAATGTATTTATTTTATTAAATATCATTTTAATAGTTTAGAAGTTTAGAATGTTTAGTTCCCTTTAAAATAAAACGAACAAATTTATAATTTGATCTTATGGAAAAAAAGGTGTAGATCAAAAATGATTTGACTTTAATTTGAGACCCATACTTATTTTAATTGTCTGAAYATTCATTTTAAGWAATATCTATGAATAAATAATAATAAAACTGAGCATTTTTAATTATCTGAAAATAAGTAATAATATCAAACAAATTAGTCTTGTGATTTTATTATTGTATAACTAGTATAACAACATAATGAGTTTATTGATATAATAATTATATTATTCAATATATRCCTATGTAATATCATTTTATTTCATATTAATTTTTGTGAAAAATTTACAAGATTTGCTTATATAGATGGTTGATAAATCAATTGTTTATTTTACATGTATTTTTAAATTCTTTAACAAGTAGATAAAAGTTATTATTTGAAAAAGAAATACATTTAATACATGTGAAATGTGTTTATTATTTTTATTTATTTTTATGCCACTTTATAACTATAATAGTTCAATAATTATTGTATATATTTATACATATTTTTTTAATGTAATTTTAAAAAGTTTGAATTTAATTTAGATTAAAAATAACTTGTAGGAGAAACAGTACCTAGTATTCAACGGGGAACGAAGAATACAACGGA